GAAGAAGATGCAGAACGCAAGCAGGGACAACACCGCCGACGATTTGGTGGAACAGGTGGCCACGGACATGATGAGAGAGGGCTGGCTGCTTTGCTTCGACGAGTTTCAGGTGACACACATCAGCGATGCTATCATCATGAAGCGCATCTTCTCCGTGCTCTTCGAGCTGGGGGCCGTCGTCGTGGCAACTTCCAACCGCCCTCCACAGGACCTGTACCTGAACGGTCTCAATCGCCCTCTTTTCTTGCCTTTCATTCCCATGCTTGAAAACTTTTGCAAGGTACATGACATCGGTGCAGAGGTGGACTACCGAATGACCTCCACGCGGGATGGGGACGACGACCGAGTTTACATTACCCCAAATGGCCCTGCCGAGCAGAAAATCCTGGAGAATAAGTTTTCCAAGATCCTCGGGCCCAGTTTGGAAAACAAGTGTTCTTGAGTTGATGTTAGTATCCCCCCAAAAAACGTAACTCGTGAACTCTAACCTGACTTTGCGGTTGATGTTTTGAGTTCGGGCTCGGCGGTGACCCAGGATATGCCAAGGGAAGTTCCGCGCGGGCGCGCAGGTGGAGGCCCAGGGGCGCAAGCTTCTCGTGCCCCGCTGTGCCGAGATGTCCGATGTAGCCTGGTTTGACTTTTCCGATTTATGCAACAAGGCTCCTAGCTGGCATTTTGGGAAACTTTTGAAGTTTCCCTTATGGTTCCTAGAGAGGTACCTCTTCATAAATACCTTTACGGACTCCAAAACTACAACCCAGGCTCTCGGGGCAGCAGACTACCTCGCCATCGGGCGCGCTTTCCATACAGTGTTCTTGGCAAACATCCCGAGACTCACCATGCAAGAGCGCGATCAAGTGCGACGCTTCATCACCCTCATCGACTCTCTTTATGAGTGTCATACCAAAGTGGTCTGCACAGCAGAGCTCGATCCGATCCCTTTGTTCTACGTCTCTGAGGAGGAGCGAAACACCTCAACTGCAGATGAGATTTTCGCTTGGCATCGGACAGCTTCTTGCTCGGCTTTGGCAGCTGTTTGCGATTGTTTGCAGTTGTCTGTGTGTTTCTGTGTCTCTACATCTCTATCGCTCGCTCTCTTTCCGTCCTTCTTCAATGTTGTCTTTTGGTGGAAACTTTGGCCAGAAGCCAGGAAAGCTGGTAGATTCTTTCTGACTGCCCCCGAGCCTTAGAAGCCATGTATCGGCTCAGGCCAGTCGCCTCATGGAGATGCGCTCTGCGGGGTACTGCAAATGACTCGGAACTTCTCGGGCAAAATGAGTGCGAAACGATTCAGTCCGTGTTGCACTGTCTTACCCTCAGACCTAGTCAAGGGGCTCTTTTGCCCTTGCCCCGAGGCGGGTTCTCGATGTGTAGGGGAAACTGCTCCATCTGAGACCAAATCGCTTGGGGGTTCAGGGATCGCGACGAAATGGCCACGTATAGTAAGTAACCCATACGGTTACTTTCATATAGTCATCCTACTTATTATCCACTTGAGGGAGGCTCAGATTTGAAGAGGGCCTCTAAATCAGTGTGATACCGAGCCAACCCATTTAAAAAGATCTGATCCCCAACCCATGAAACATACCCTAAACCCCTAGACCCCTAAACCCCAAACCGCAAACCGTAAACCCAACCCATGAAACATATCCTACACCCCTAAACCCGGAAACTAAACCCCCCAACCCCAAAACCCCAAATACTTTAAACCCAACCCATGAAACATAAATCTTGAGCTCTTCGGAGGCGGGCTGCCCGAACTCTCCAGCCCGTTGGCCTCGCCGGCCGGGGGGCCCTATTCTATACATCTCTTCCGTGTCCATCTATCCATCGATTTGTCGATCAATCGATCTATCTATCGATCTGTCGATCTACTGATCTGTTACATCTTACAACTATCAAATACCCTGCTGACATGATAGAGCGTAGGAGCAGTGTACCTATGTGGCAAAGTACACAGCTCAGCAACAGAAGAAGCAGCAGGAGAAGAAGGAGTGGCAGCACCAGTGGCAGCAACAAGCAGCAGTCCTCGTCGTGAACGTTGTTATAGTCGTAGCATGTCGTAGCAGCAGCAACATCAAGACGAATCACCATACATGACAGCAGGCCGTTCAAGCCATAAGAGGGACAAAAGGTTGACAATATGTAACAGCATGGTGTGCAAGAACCGTACAGGCGAGATCCAGGCCCCGTTCTTCCCCACAATGAGCACTCTGAGCTGTGTGATTGAGAGCCTGAGAGGAAGTCTTAATCCCCAAACTTTAATCTCAAACCTGCACCCCCAGACCCCAAACCTGAAACCTGAAACTACCGAACCCAATTTAGGGGCAATATCAACCTCACACACCAAGCCCTTGCAAAGTAAAAGCAGGTCCCGGGAAGCGGCCCGCTGCCGGATTTGCGTGGGGCAGCCTCGGCTGGATTTCTCAAGGGCCATGAGTGGTATGACAAGTAACTATATTTTAAAGGGATTTATGAGAGTACTATAAGTTATGGCTTCGGACCGGTAGGGATCGGGGGCTGGGGGCAAGCGGGGAAGCTTTAGGGCGAAGGTTGCTTTTTCGTGGTTAAACGGTTAAACGTTGGAGAGGGACAAGGGTAACCTCGGGGATTCGTCGTGTCGGGGCTTAATCTAGTTTTGTAGATCCGGAGGTTGCAGCCCTAAACACTAGGCTAGAAGAGGCCCCTGGAAACAAAACCTGCCTAAAACCCTGAACCACGCAAAACCAGGTGGACGGAAAAGAGCCCTCAACAAACAGACAAACAACACCGTCAAGGTGCGTCCTAAAGTCTTACCTCTGATAATTAGGGGCTTCATAAGCATGCTGTCCAGTGTCCAAAACTTGAGCCATCCTGAACCCATGACCCCCATGCCCTCAAAACATCATGATCGTGGCAGTGTCGAAAACATTGATGAAGATGATGATTGTCAAAGAGCCCTCAGCCCTTTCCTGTAAGTTTTGCTACTCCGAGGCAAAGAAAGCTCCCGTGGACGCTTCGGTTCGCGAAGCCCTCCGCGCCCTTCGTGCGGCTTCGCTCTCCGAGTTCTTCGGCGCCCATGTGGTGCTTTGCGAGGTAGTTCTCTGTTCAGGGTTATCAGCGTTTGGGTTGTGCAGACAGTAGAGCCAAAGCTGTGTTTTTCGTAGTTCGTGTGTTTATGCTACCCTTATCAGACAGACATGCTGATTCAGTTGCTGTGTATGCTCGTCTGCACTTCGCAATGCTTTTTCGATAATTGGAAACTTCGGAGAAGTCTACCGGTTGCTGAAGCTGCAGTATGTGTTGTGTGACTGCCCAGGTTTGCTGTGGCGGCATAGTAGCGGAGCATGCATTCAACCTGTTTCACATCTTGTACAGACTTGCATGCTGCTGACGACGATGCTGCGACATGTCAAAAGAACCGTCAAGCACAGCCCGATCTCAACCCGGAGGTTTTGCATGCATATTTCGGCTAGCAGCTCACAGCAACTACAGCAAGACATGCGTCTGCTCCAGCAGCTGGCAGGCCTTATCAACGCGGGTAATTGGTCCTTCAACGATCAGCAGGCGTGCGCAGACCGTGGGATGACATCGAAGCAGGAACTTATGCTATGCGGGAAGCATGTGAAGATGAAGCTTCCCGGAGAGCCCAATACCCCCTTAATTAAGGAATATACCTTAAACCATAATATTAAGGCCCGTATAATTTAAGGTATAATTCAAGGTATATTCCTTAATTAACGTGTATTGGGCTCTCTGGGTTGTCCTGGCCAGGTCTTCCTTCTGAGAAAGCAGATCCTGCGGGCGTACCGAGAGCTGGAGGCTTGTCACCCAGACGACATGCTGTGGGCTTAGGGCTTTGCAGATACAGCTTCGTGGATACACATGTCAGCTAGAACAGCAACATGCTAAGCTACTTGTGCATAGGTATATGTTTGAATAAGTAGTGAAACACAAAATCAAGTGTATACATATATGTGTATACATGTGTACATATGTATACATACATACATACATACATACAAACATACATACATACGTGCATACATGCATACATACATACATACACCCTGGCGGGTGCCCCCCTCGCCAACCCCCGCATGCCGCGCGGTATCACCCACTACCGCTTGCCACTTGCCTCGAGCTGGCCTGAACCCCAAAAGGCAGGCAGGTAGGCAGACAGAGAGACCGATTTTCGTGTATATGCATGTCTTTCTATCTATGTATGTATGTATGTATGTATGTATGTATGTATGTATGTATGTATGTACGTGTGTGTGTGTGTATGTGTGTGTGTGTATGTGTATATATAGGTGAACCTATCAGTATGCTCATAAACCTTCCGTGCCCACAGACATGCGCACAATCTGCTTATACCGAGCTTCACCTGCGAGGCGCGAAGTCTTCGAGAAGATCCGGAGGCCTCGCCACCGCCCTTCAAAGTCTACGTCTACGATGAGGCCTCTAAAGGGCACTATAGGGCTCCCCGGGGTCCCTTTGAAGGGTACTCTAAAGTAGGGTCTCTTTAAGGGATCCTTTAAAGGAGTCCAAATATCGAACCCACGGGAGCCTCAGACTTCAGAGCAGGGCTTTGATTTAGAGTTTAGGGTAACGGTTGCTGCAGGGGTTAGTGTAAGGCTTGCAGTACGCTTTAGCGTAAGGGTTTAGTGTAAGGGTTACTACAAGAGTTATTAGACGGGTTATGGTGGGTTCAGGGTTTACTAGGGTTCAGGCTTGCGGATATGAGATCTGGGGGCTCTTGGAGATGCTGATAAGTTCGTTGCCCTGTATGGCCATGCGCACTCATTCGGGCTTTGCCTGTGAGCCACTTCCCACTCGTGACACCGAGGAGCAAGTGCCACAGCTGAAGCCCCTCCTGCAGAGCCAGATCTACTGCAGCCGAGGTCTGTGAAGCTGAAGATTCCCAGTTAGGCTTTTTGAAGTGTGAGGCTGTGCCAGAAGACGGTTGTAGATAACGGTCTGAGAATAATGCAACATAATGACAGTGGTGTACTGAGCTTATTTATCACTTTCTAAGCTTGATCGCCTACCTTGTTTTGTCATCTCTGGCCCCCACCACGACCTCAATCTTTCGGGAATGCAGCGCTTGGAAGGACAATGGGGCACGGATGTGCAGCTCCACGACTTTTTCGTTACGTCTAACATCCAAACAGACGACCCCGCGGAGGTGCGATCAGTCCGCTTTCCGAGCCTTCCTTGTGGGATCGTAAATGTCATAATGATGGTTGTGCTCCTCCAAATGGACTGATGATCATGCAAACAGACTAGCAACAACAATACATGCAGTTCTGGCAATTCGGTGGCTCACGTCCTAAGACCTGTGTGATGAAGCCATTCGGCGGTGTTAGAACTTCCAAAGCGGTATGAGGGCTGCAAAGTTTACTGATATTCGAAACTGCCATATTCTTTTGAGTTGAGCATCCCCAACTGCACCAGGCGGACTTCTTCTTCGTTCCCGGCTATGCCATTTGTGTGCTGGAAGGTGAGCCATATGGGTAGTTCTCAGAACCACTTCCAGAAGCTTCACGCGTTCCGATGGAAGCCGGGCCCCTCGCGACCCGAGTCGTCCCAATGGCTGTCCGCAGACTTTGCCCCGACACGCATTGGTGCGTGCCTTCCTCTCTGCGGAAAGCTGACCCAGTGAATGCATGGACCGGGAGGCAATCTTTACAGCCTGGACGAGGTGGATGAGCTCTACAAGGCCTTCTTGCATCGGATGTCGTCGGATAGACTTGTCGTGTAGGCACTCGGAAGTCGGTCTGCTAGTTTTGAGCTGTTGCGAGCTGAGCTATGTTGAGCTGCCCGCAAGGAGCTTGTGGTGGCTTTACCGTACTTCAATGCTTCAGGCGCAGCAGCTTCGTCTCATCTGTAGTTTGGCATCGCCATTCCCGATAGGTGGCCGAGACCACATCTTCGTCTTCGGCTCTGGAATGGCTCAGACATTCTGCAAAACTGTAGAAACTTGCGAGTTCGGGACAGGTTGAGGACAGTGACACTGACATAGCTAGAGTTGAGCCAGTGTTGAGGAGTTCTTGCACGTCTCGCGAATGCGAGACTAACGACTGCTGTGGCCAGGTGTCCTTTTCTGATCTTTTCTGCATCGGATCAGCCTGTTCATCTGTGACGCCATTCGCTTGGCTGTTACCATGTCCTTACCGTGGTGTACTCGTTTGAGACAGCTGCCGTGATGCCTCGAAGATCAATATTTGCAGTCCTGTGTTCCGGGGGCTTGGAGCCAAAACGAGCCGGATGGCATTAGTCATCGCGGTGACTGGAAGCTTTTCAGGTGTTCGGACACGGGGCAATGGCACCACTTGCACTCTCTGAGCAGTACAGAACACCACAGTTCGACAATTAGACAGCCTCTTGAGCCGCATGTGTTTTTCAGCTATTTTGCTTGGAGTTCAATTGTGGGGTCCTGCGACAGCAGAACAGAGGCATCGCGTTTCATGTTCGGTTGAGACACCTGTTGGCGCGCGTTGCCGCGTGTGCGTTGGCGTGACTCTTGAGACAGATGCTGCCGTGATGCCTCGAAGATCAATATTTGCAGTCCTATGTTCCGGGGGCTTGGAGCCAAAACGAGCCGGATGGCATTCGTCATCGCGGTGACTGGAGGCTGTTCGGGTGTTCGGACACAGGGCAATGGCACCATTTTGCACTCTCTGAGCAGTTCTGTCGGACAGTTCGACTCTTCGACAGCCGCACCTTGATTGGAGTTCGATTGTGGTATCTGAAGACAGCAGAACAGAGGCGTAGCATTTCTTGTTCGGTTGAGACAGCTGTTGCGCGTGTCTGGTGGCCTTACTCTTGAGACAGATGCTGCCGTGATGCCTCGAAGATCAATATTTGCAGTCCTGTGTTCCGGGGGCCTGGAGCCAAAGCGAGCCGGATGGCATTCGTCATCGCGGTGACTGGAGGCTGTTCAGGTGTTCGGACACAGGGCAATGGCAC